CTTTTCCAAGCCGGATCGATCTCGATCGATTTGTAATGGCCCCGGGGCCCGACACCTGGCGAAAACGCCCGGTGTGCACACACACACACACAAACATCCTGCAGCGCGAGCCGGCAGCGAGGCGGCGAGCGAGCGGGGGCAGGCGCCGTCGCGCGCAAACCCCACGGAACGGCGGTGCCTTCGAGGCCCTCCGCGCTGGGGGCGACGACGACGACGACGAAGACGTCGACGACGTCGACGACGACGGCGACGACGACGGCCTCGATGACGACGACGACGACGACGACGACGACGACGACGACGACGACGACGACGACGGCGGCGACGACGACGACGACGACGCCGACGGCGACGACGACGACAACGACGACGACGACGACGGCAGCGACGCCCACGGCGGCGGCGGCGACGAGCCGGCGGCAAGGCGCCCGTCCTGGAGACCCGCGGCGCTGGCTGCATCCTGTTGAGGCCCTGGCCGGTGTCACAGAGCCGGTAGCCCAGGGCGGGGTCGAGCAGGTCGTCCTCGGTGCTGTGCCACAGGAAGAACATGTTCCTCGCGAGGGTCACCACCGTCGTCGTTACTTTCGTCGTCGCACTTTCGTCGGCGGCGTCGTCGTCACTTTCGCCGTCGTCAACGTCGACGTTGACGCCGCCGCCATCGCCGTCGTCGTCGTCGTCGTCGCCGCCGTCGTCGTCGTCCTCGGCGTCGTCGTCGTCGTCGTTTTGTCATCGTCGTCGTTTTGTCTTAGTCGTTTTGTCGTTGCCGTCGTCGACGTCGGCGCCGCCGCCGCCGCCACTATCGCCGTCGTCGTCGTCGTCGTCGTCGTCGTCGTCGTCGTCGTCGTCGTCGTGGTCGTCGTCGTCGTCGTGGTCGTCGTCGTTTCTTTTGCCGTCGTCGACGTCGACATTGACGCCGCCGCCGTCGCCGTCGCCGTCGTCGTTGTTTTGTCATCGTCGTCGTTTTGTCTTCCTCGTTTTGGCGGCACCCGCCTCGTCGCGCTCATGCCCCACGCCTCCTGCTCCTCCTCCTACTCGCTCCTCCTCCGCCCTCCTCCTCCCAACTCCCTCCTCCCTCCTCCTCCTCCTCCTCCTCCTCCTCCGTCCTCCTCCTCCGTCCTCCTCCTCCTCCTCCTCCTCCTCCTCCTCCTCCGTCCTCCTCCTCCTCCGTCCTCCTCCGTCCTCCTCCGTCCTCCTCCGTCCTCCTCCTCCTCCTCCTCCTCCTCCTCCTCCTCCTCCTCATCCTCCTCCTCCTCCACCTCCGTCCTCCTCCTGCTCGCCATTCCTTCTCATCCTCCTCCTCCGCCTCAAATGTGGATGGGGTGAGGGAGGGGAGGGAAGGGAAGCGAAGGCCCCGAAGAACTCCGCTTCTGACTGCGTCGGTCCCGGCCCTATCGGCCCGACCTCCTCCCGGTGACCCCTCGCGCGGAGTCTCCTCCTAGAGACTCCCGGCTGCTCTCCACGGCTGCTACTCCTCATCATCAGATTCCTCGTTGTCCTTCTCCTCGTTATCCTCTTCCTCCTCCCCCTCCTCCTCGTTTGTTCCTCTTCCTCCTCCTCTCCCTCCTCCTCCTCCTCCTCATCCTCCTCCTCTTCCTCTTCCTCTTCCTCCTCTTCTTCTTCATCCTCTCCCTCCTCCTCCACATTTGTTCCTCCTCCTCCTCGCTGTTTCCCACTTCTTCCTCGTATTCCTCTTCTTCCTCTTCCCCGTGCTCTTCCTCTTCCCGCCTTCCCTATGCTTCTCGCTGCCCTCTTCTCACCCGCCTCGTCGCCCTCGATATGCCCGCCGTCCTCCTCGCTACGTCGTCACTTGTGTCAACACTCTCTGTCTTTTCTTTTCTCTCCCTCTATTTAGAGGACAGAAGAGCCACCCGCATGATAAGCCCCTCTGAGAGCAAATCCCTCGGTAAGCGCAGCTCGGGAATGCATCGACCAGGGCAGGATGGCAAACGCACAGGGCTTCGCTGCGAACGCCAGATGGGTAGTTCGGGGCGGTTCCCTAAACAGCCTGCCTGTAAGGCTAGGTCGGGCGTGTCCTCCTACAGGCGGATTTTGGGGGATAAATTGAGGACGGCAAAAAATGCGAAAACATACTCAAAGATAGTCAGGAAATCGTCCCCAGACCATGTTTTGAATGTCTTTGAGCATTCCTCCTGTAGGGGGACGGGCCCGACTCCACTGTAAAGGTCCCTGCTCTGTTCAAGGCCGGTGGGGGTGTGGTCTGCGCGCTCCCAGACCGGTGGCCCGCGGTCTCTGCGGTCGTGGGTCCCTGGTCGCGGCCCGTGGCCTCTGGCCGTGCCCGCGGGTGCAACAGAGGATAGGCCAGCGTCGTGGTGAACAGGACCATCACAGTATGCCCATGTGTATACACGTCTCTAACCGTACATATACACATATGCACACAGGTGTGTATATATATATATATATACATATATATATATATATATATGACATGTGTGTATATATATACATACATCTAGAGATCGTTTCTCTGTAGGTCGTGCTCTCCACAGCGTTCTAAAAAGCGTGTCCCTGCCCCCTTTGCATGCTCGTCCTGCTCCCCGTGCCGAGGCCACCCCGAGCGCTGCCCTCCCGCTGCCGCCCCTTCCCCCTCCATCCCCTCGATCCTCGATCCTCCCTCTCCCCCATCATCCCTCGATCTTCGATCCTCGGTCCCCCCCCCCCCCCCCTCCCTCGATCCTCGATCCCTCCCTCCATTCCCCTTCCTCCTCCCACGATCCTCCCTCTCCCCCATCGTCGCCCCCCCCCCCCCTATCCCCGTCCCCACCGTTCCGTTTAGTCCTCTTCGTCCTCAGCCTCAGTCTGCGAATCCTTCCCCGCCCCCGAGCTGTGAGTGCTTGCGCCACGTGCTCTCACCTTTTGCCAGCCCGAAAACTCGGATGGGGTCCGCCGGGGGTCCGCCTGGTGCCCAACCGGCGGCCGCCCGCGGCCGCCTCGTGGCCGCACCGTGCGCCGGGCGGATCTGCCCCAGGGTCTCGCCTGGTGCCCGCCTGTGGCCGCCTCGTGGCCGCATGGCACAGCTTGCAGCGCACTCTTTCCGGCACATCGCCCGCATCACACGACCTGCGCCCACACGGCGACCGCCACGCTCTGATGCTACAACGTGGCTTGGACCGCATAGCTTGTTCCACACAGCTTGGACCGCGTAGCTTGCAGCTCGCGCGCGCGCACGCACGCACGCACGCACGCACGCACGCACGCACACACACACATACACACACCTACACACATAAACACACATGTTGCTCCACCCACGGAACGCATGACATAGCCTGAAACTCCGATTATTACATCCTCCTTCTTCTCCTCCTCCTCCTCCCCCTCCTCCTCACATCGGCATCATCATCCCTCTTCCTCCGAAACACGCTCCTTCTCGTCCCCCTTCTCCTCCCCCCCTGGTCGCTCATCATGATCTCGCGCCACAACAGCAGACTCTGCAGCACGAACACGTACTGGGTCTGGTGGCTGTGCGAGAGGCAGGATCCCCCGCGCCCTCGGCTGATGGCCAAGCTCCTGCCCCGCCGAAGGATCCCTGGCGCCAGAGGGGCAGGAGGAGCAGGAAGTATGGAGGGGGGGGGCGGGGAGCAGGAGGAGTAGCAGGAGAACTGGTTCGAAAACGTAGAATGCAAAACATCCACCCTAATCATGAGCACCCCGACCAGCGAAGCCAGTGAATGAACACCTCCAAACAAAAATCGGCCAGGGCAGGGCTATTTAGTAAACGCGCAGGGCCGTTTACTAAACGCCATTTATCGGGGTCGGGGTGGTCTTTGCTTCCTTGATTAGGGGCGCCAGCGCCCGTTAGCGGGACGTTGCATGGGTTGCCTACCTCATGCGCGGTGCGCTCCGGTTTCAACCGTACAATGGGGGGTCGCTATCGCCCCTGCGCGGGGACATGCGCGATCGCCCGTTGGTTCACGGGCTCGAGTGGAGAAGACAAGGAGGGGCGAGCAGGAAGAGCAGCAGGAAGCAGGAGCAAGAGAAGGAGTA